AATTATACAAAAAGTTTGATGTTTCTATTGTTACTTGATTGATGATAGACGGAAGACCGATCTATTTTTCTCAATTTACGAAAGAACTTCATAAACGTAAGCGAAACTTTAAAAATACAATAATTATGTATGCAGGCTGTGATTGTTTCGTTGTAACGTCCTGTATACTTAACTTGTTTGAAAACTACGTAATGATTAAAAAACTTGAAAAAAAAAATAATAATAATAATAATAATAATAATTAAAATACAACACACGTTAGTTAATATTGTTTGCTCCAGAAAACTTTTGGTGCCGGACAAACGCAATAACGAAGAAAAACAATAATGTAAACGGAAATTCGATAAAGATGCGTAACGTGTTATACAAGTAAGACACTTAAAAACATTAGCAAGCAAAAAAATTGGGTCGAGACTCAAATGAATAACTAAAGATAATATCGTTAAATAACCGATTAACCAAAAAATAAAAATAAATGGTGTCACACTATGTACAATATCATTCACAATAAAATCGTAGGACTACTCAGAGAACATATATTATGCCTCTCGGCCCCTAACGACGTGTAAATTTTCTTCTCCAACCTGTACCTCCTTTTCTTCTTCTTCATCTTTTTCCCGTCCTCGTCGTATTTTACATTTACAAAAATGGTAGATATTTCCTCTCTTTCTCTCGTCAACTATCTTTGTCACTTTATACGCATACGTAGGCTTTTGCGCCGCGCTCCTCTCTCCCTTTCCTGCCGTTCCGTCCTTCAGAATTTTCGCATAAAGTAAGTAGCGATGCCGGCGGTTGCGTCTGCGCGTCTCTGTACAGCCTCTTCCGCTCCTGTTACGACCACCACTGGAAATAAAACACGTCTCCCGGACCATTACTGCATCCTCTTATTTTTGGCGTAATGTCGTACGGGGGTGCTAGACCCACTTTACAGGGCGTTTCCCTGAATGCTCGAGAAATTGAATAATACTTTTGCACGTACGCATAAATTTAAGCTAACGACGGCGCGCTTTCTTTACGACCAGTCACCTCAAATGTGTGATGATGAAAAATAATTCATGCCATCGTTAAGCTTTTGAAGAAAAAAAAAATTTTTTTAATAAAATAAAACAGAGAGAAGAAAGCGTTGAAGCAAAGCGCAATAAAAGGGAAACTAAAAAAAAATATTAGTCGTAACGGAGAGGTGCTGTCAAGACGCTGTACGCAACCTCGGCAAAGGGAATAATGGCTTCATGAATTCGTCTCGGTAAAACGCTCGTGTTATATACTATATGTCTGTACAGAGATGCACTTTATATTTATGCTAAGAGAAATGGAGTAGAAGCTATTTGTTATCGTTTCAAATCGTAAAAATATCAAGATAGATGATAAAATACACGTACATCCTTTAAAAAAATAAATAAATAAATAAAGTTACAAAAAGCCCGAATGTACGTTGAATACAACGAAAATCCAGCGACGCGTTATACATGTACCGGTATACATCAAACATGGACAAACGTACATAAATACCTATACATGCATACACAAACTAAATATATTTATTAAATATAAATATGCAATATATATATATTTACATATATAATACATACGTGCGTACGTATTTTATACATAAATAGACGTGTGTTGACTTTTTGTCGAGAGAGCAGATAATATACGCGATAATTACTCGTACTGTATCGGTAGTCCATGGTAGGGGTAGGGGGGTAATATTGCGTTGCTGAGAAAAGCATACACCTATATTTGTTGCAAAAATTAGGTGTACAGGTATATATAGCGGTCTCACGCCTCTACGGGTGTATGGGGGATACCTATAAATTGCTCGGGAATCGTGTGGCTGACCGACGCTTGGGGAAACTTAAAAATTTTAAGCGAAAGAGAGGGAGTGAGGCACGTGCTAGTGTGTACTCGAGGGAATAATATCCCGCCCAGGGATTGTAGCGTAGCCCGCTTGGAGATGTTTGTCCGTGTGATCGTTTATAAATTATAATGATGATGATGATGATGATGATGATAATGATGATGATGATGATGATGATACGCGCTCGGAGAGAGAGAGAGAGAGTAGGTCAGCATTTAATAATAATCATATAATATATGAAATTGTTGTTGTGTTACGATAGTTGGAGGCTACACTTTACCGAACGCTGGAAGGTTTGATTGCGCGTTTTTCATTGAAACAAAGTCATGACAACTACTTAATTATCCGTGTATTGTGTATACTTATATTGTAATCGAAAGTTCACTGAGATTAATTTTTAAGGATAATTTTAACTATTACATATACATTTGTATTTATCGAGGGTAGATTTCAATTTAGACGCTTAGGTCATTCTTACACTAAGTTCGTTGAGTACTTTTTTTTATAAATACTCGTAATGTTATATTAGTGTGATTGAGATATTTAAGTTTTACACTATATATATATTATGTAGAATATACGAGATCGACGATTCGCACCACTTTATTATACTTGTTTTAAAACGAATAGGTACTTCCAGCAAAGTTCGGTATCCTCGAATAAGGTGAATAAAAAAAAATTTAGTGAATGAATAAATGATTACGTGAGAGAAGGACGAAAAATAAGTCCAAATGCATTTTACCTTCCGTCTTCGATATGTTACTCCTATTGTACAGATCACTGGTGTATTTATTATTCTATACTGTTAAATTACGTTTCGAAAATCACAATTGGGGTGGCAAAAAATATCAATTCAAATAAGTAGCCCCAATTAAAGGTGAAAAAAAAAAAAATAATAATAAGATCTGAACTGCACCAAGAGGTAATACGAAACTCGGAAACGGGCATCTGCAAGTAAAGATGAACAATATATGTACAGGTAATATGTGTACCTCGTCAATTACCCTTTTTCTCCCCACTTATAAACTTATAAAAATATTTATTAAATCTGACTATAATTGTACTCTGTCATTTTCTGGTTGGTGCATACATATTTTCATCAAATTATTTTGTGGAATCTAATGAAAAATTACACTTGCGTAACAAAGGAATTTTTTGTAATTGATATCAAGGTGGAGAAAAAAAGTGCGTAACGATCAGAAATAGCGATGCCTCTCCGACTTGTCGAGTAATAAAGTAAGCCTATAGCGGAAACCGTATGTGTATCACCGATGTTGGCTGCCTCACCCGAACTTCCTGGTCTTTTTATAAAACACAGTGTAGCAACAACACTATCCTTTTCCCACATCCACAAAATACTTATCAATTGTTAATCTATTTAAATAGGTATAAGCTAAATCTTTGAGTAGAAAAAAAAAAGAATATTGGAATGGACGATCAAAAAAGATTGGGTCGCGTTGACTAATAAAAAAAATGTATACGCAGCGTAAAAGCGAATTTGATGCGAATAACGTAAACTACACAATGAAAATCTTTGTATGCTGCGAAAAAGAAGATAAGAAATGGAAATGACCAGGAAGTACGGGTAGTGGGTGCAACACCTCATGATGTGTCCGCGTTTTAGCGCGAGCTCGCAGTAAACTGATTGTAATTGAATCGAAAGTGTAAAAATTACAATATTTATCATAATAAACATACATTAAATGTTGTTTAAGTGACTGGTTTTTTATTCATATTGTTTACATTAATTAATTTGAATTACAAAATTCACGTGAGGTAAGTGAAATTTTTTTTAATTACACTTAGTAACAGTTGAAATTATTACTTACAGTTTTCTTAAATGACATAACAAAATTACTATTACTAATTTTCGAAAATACCTAGAAAAGTATAGACAAAGTCTTTATTTGAACGTACATAGTATTATTAAATTATAGACATGAGAGACATTAGCATTATCATTTTTTTAGTAATATCAAGATTTCACTATCAAATAATAATTATTATTTTAATTCTTATAAGCTTCAGTCATCCCAGAAAAAAAAATTTTTCTTAAGACACTTAAAAACAT